GGTCCGGACTCCCTTGTATTGGGATGAGGTTGGAGAGAGGAGGATCACGAGCCCGGACTTTGTTCAGAGTACTGCGGCGACAGTCTCCATCAGATCTGCCCAGGAGAGGCAGAAGGTCTATGCCGACCGGAAGAGGCAGGAGCATGTTTATGCAGTGGGAGATCATGTCTTCTTGAAGGTTTCACCTATGAGAGGTGTGATTCGCTTCGGGAAGAAGGGAAAGCTTAGACCTCGCTATATCGGGCCTTTTGAGATCCTCGACCGAGTTGGGAACTTAGCGTATCGGCTGGCTTTACCACCAGATTTGTCGGGTGTGCACGATGTGTTCCATGTTTCAATGCTTCGGAGGTACGTGCATGATCCTGATCACGTGGTGGACTTCGGCGAGCTGCAGGTCGAGTGAGACCTCACCTATGAGGAGGTGCCGGTAGCCATCTTGGACCGAAAGGTCCATCAGTTGAGGAACCGGGCAGTAAGCTTGGTGAAGGTGCTGTGGAGCCGACACGATGAGACCGAGGCGACTTGGGAGAGGGAGGACGGTATTAGGAGGCGTTATCCGAACTTTGAATTCTGAGTTCTCCTTTGTATTTTACCGCTTTCTAGTTTTATTTTCGAATTCCGAGGACGGAATTCTTTGTAAGGTGGGTAGATTGTAGCGCCCCGTTCGAATATTAGGTTTTTATGAGTTTATTTTAATTAATGGTATTTTATTTTAATATTTATATATACCTTGATTATGTGATTATATATTTTTATTATTATACAGATACTATAATTATATAGCTCGGTTAATTTTATTTTATCAATCGTCGTTTGAATTTTCGGTTTAATCGCGTAAGCCGAATTGTTGTTCGTTTGAATTCGTTTTAGAAACGTTGCAACCCGAACATCAAAACGAATCAACAAGACCTTAATAATATTACATTACCATCTCTTTAATAGTATTTTTATCTATAAAAACCGAATTAGAAGAGGAAAAATTGATTGTAGTCAAATTCTTCGGTTTTCAATTATTGTCGGATTTTAAG